ACAGTAAGCTGTGAAGTAGTGACTGGCTCAAGGTCACCAGGTGACTTGCATGGCTAAGCAGAATTTAAACTCTGTGCGGCATCATAACCAATTCAACAAAAGTAGTTCCAAGGGGATACTTTACATTTGTTTCCTTCTTTAGTACATTTGATGCCCAACTTTCTTCTATTGTAGAACTCAAGATAGTGTCCATTCAAATCCAAACTGGTTTCTCATTCACACACTGATTCAGAATTTGAAAGTAATGTGTTATAAATAAGGTTACATGTAACATGTTACTTTGGGATAACAAGGCTTTCCTTTTGTGAAATAATATGATGATTAGTAACATCTACTTTTTTCATGAAACAAGTTTCATGTAACCATTTTCTCTACTTCTTCTCATAAGACTTAATTTATTTTCAGTCTTAGCAAACAATTAGTATCTCCAGATACCGATAGGTATGATAAATGTGACAGAACATGCCTTTGCTCCCTAGCCTTTGCATTGTGTTCTTAATGTGTGAAGTGAGATTATCTTTCAATAACCAATTGAATTATTGAGATTTTCTACCTGAAGGCTGCTACAAAATATCAAGCCTGCATTGCCAGCAGGAAAAAAGATGCCAAGCTTTACATAGCAAAGGGCGACTTGAATATTTACAACACCAATGGGAGCAGTCCAGATGGTCTACAACACATGTCAAACTCAAGGCTTGCCCAGCCATTTCATGTAGCTCTCACAGTGTTGCCTGTTACTGTGCAGTATATAATACAGTGGACCCTCTACTTACGGAATTAATCCGCATTGGAACAGTGGCTGCAGGTCAAAAAGTCTGTAGGTCTAGTCTCCATTGACCTACAATGCATTGAAAACCGATTAATCCATAACTGGCCGTTTTTGTTCCATTTTGGGTTTTTTTCTGGTCTGCAGGTCAATTCTCCGGCTGCAAGTCGAACCTAAATTTTGCAGCCAGAGAAGTCTATAACTCGAAAAGTCTGTAAGTCGAGCTGTCTGTAAGTCTGTACACAGGCGCTTACTCGGTCACCCATAATACTCTGCAAGGATGCTGGGAATCCACCCAGCGGGACTTCTAATCCCAGCATTCCAAGCAGCAAACAGTCAGAAAGTGCAGCTGCATGGGCAGTGTACAGCATCTTGGAAAATGTGGTCCTCGCTATAGCCCACTCCCATTTTTATCTGTTTGCCATTATTTCTAGACTTTGATCATAGATTTTTACTTTCAGAGCTAATTATTATGTTATTTCTAAAACCAGTAATAATCAAATGAGGAGGATTATATTTACTATCATAAAGGGTAGATACATTTATATAGTCTAACAGACGCAACCGGCCCTTTGAGGGTGACCATAATGCCGACGCAGCCCAAGATGAAATTGAATCTGACACCTCTGGTCTACAAGATGATACCCTTTTGTGCTCATTGCCATTCACAGTTGTTGAAAAAGAGCCCCGGCAATTGCTTTGTGTTTAGGTGAGAATTTGTTATCTGATGAAAAGGGGCATCAGTTTCTGGGATTTTCCCTTGTGTGGTGCCATTTTGTGAATGCTAGTGAGCGCAAGAGGGTATCCTATACCATCTTGACTGCTGCTATTGGTGTTGTTAACATTCAGGCTGTCTGTTGCTACATAAACTTTTTCGTGCTTGCAAAGCAGGCACAATATTGTCCAGCAATATTGGGCCATTTCCTGCCTTTTCAAATAATAGATACAAAAGGACAATATCCCACATTCAGAAAAAGCAGGGTTTTTTAAGAACTGTTGTAGAACTACCTGGGAAGCTGTGTCTGCAAAGGAGAAATAATGCATCACAATAGCCTAAGATGGAATGAGAATGGGGTTAGGTTAGGTTGTGGCATTCCAACTTACTCTCCCTCAGCCTAACCTTTCAAATAGGATTATTCAGGGGGGTCGCAGAATGTGACAGGATTATATTTGTAACATGCCCCTAGTATTTTGTTTTAGCTGGTAAAGAATTTTAAACAAGTGTCAGTGGGAACCATATAAATTTTGCCTCAGCTACAGCTTTTCTGCATAGGGATATTAGGATAACTGGAAATGGATTTTTGTAAAGCAGAATACTGGATCTGTGTTATAACTTAGTGCCTTTGTGCAATTTAAATATTAATTGAAAAAGATAAGGTCAGAAGTTTGCTGACACTTGGCTTCCCTCTCTTTCGTCTGCCCATGACTTTGATCATGCCACATCTTTCTTTGTGTCTTATTCTCCAGAGACCATCTCAGGGTCATGGCCTGTTTCCTAGTCAAGAGGTATAAACCTACTGGCTTAAATATTTGAGGCCCATAGTTTAACAGGGGGGGCTTTTTGCTTCATGCTTTCCCATTTCCCACATAACCCAGCGCAGACTAAACAAAACCAGTGTGAAATCTCATGGCTTGATGCTGCTGTGGTTATATTTTTAAAGCTACCATCTATTCATTTGTACTTCTGTTTATTCCGTGGATTTACAGCTTTTTCAAGCCTTTTTTTTTTTTTTTTGAGGGATGGCTGTTTGAAATATTTTTGGGGGGAAATAACAGGATTGCAGTAAGCACTGGCCTATGATTAAAGCCCAGTGTTGTTTTTTTGCCCCCCTTGCTGCTCTTGTGCAGTAGTGTCACACATGGTAGCATTTAGGATCCCCTTCACAGCTGAAGTGTTTCAAACACTAATGAATGGAAGTTTGGTCACATAATGCAGACAAGCTGTAAGGCATGCTTTACTGAACGGTGTACTGCAGTGGCCTGGGAAAGGAAGAGAGTTATAAATTGTGTCAGTTAGCCACCCAGACAAAATGAAGCCATGTGGAAAATCAAATCTATTAAAGTATGAAGACTGTTATAAGCTGGTCATTCTTAAAAGGTCTCCATTTGCTGTACGGGTAAATGTTTACCTATTTGCTCTAGATCTTTTTCACATGCTGTCGTACAAGATGATGTGCAGCATTTAATAAAAAATCAACTTCTTGCTAACAGCCCTTTTTATCAGTAGTGTTTATTGTCTTCAGTTTACCACCCATATCCTGAAAGATACTGCACATTAATTAAATAAGAAGTGTAAAAAGAATGATATGGCACAGCAAGGTCAGAACATGGCTCCTGCATGTTTTAAGATCAAACTGAAAGGGAAGATTGGTGTTAAGGATGCAAGAGGGACGGCAAAAGAAATTTATCTTACTTTTTTTTTCTTTTTGAAGGATTAATCCACAATTTTGACATGGCCCCTCAAAACAACATAATCTTTGCAATGGGTTTCAGGCTTTAAACCGAATACTGTAGCAGTGCTTGCTTAAAATTTAAATAATAACTGGGCTGGAAGACTGTTGTGGTGTCATGTATAGTATGATAGGTTCGGATGTGGGAGGCCAAAGTTCAGATCAGCACTCAGCTGTGAAGCTTGTTGGGTGGGCTTGGGCAGGTTTCTTTTTCCAAGCATAACCTGCTTCCAAGGATTGGTGAGTAAATAAATGAGATCAGTGTTGTAAATTAGTTTGTACATCAAGAAGCCATTGAGACATGATCAATAACAAGAGAATCATTACTGCTAGCTTCTCAGTCTTTGGAACAAACACATGCCTTCTCTTCTATTTGAAAGCTAAAGTAGAAATGTTCATCATACATTGTTTTCTATTCAGTTGCCCTCAAACACATACATACCAGTGATTAGAAAGTAATGTATTAGATAAAATTCTGCTACATATTGTAGCTCTGCTGGTAGAGTTGGAATGATATCACAAACAGTAGCAGATTGCTGAACAGCACTTTTCTGCTCCCAAAAATGTCACTCTTGTTGCACAAGCATAGCTATACAACAGGATAACAGCCATCATGAAAAAGCACATACAGACTATTTTATGTTATTACTGAGTCATTGGACTTTAAGAATTTTTGGACAATACCCCAAGAAGCCTGCATGAATTTCCCCAGCCAGACTTCCAGAGTGGGCTAATTTCCATGGGAGCTGCAAGGCATTGGGAGGTTGGTAATCTCCATGTGCATTATGCTCTGTACTGTGTGCCTCTCAAAGAACTATTATTATTTATTACTATCTATTTAAAATATTTATATGCTGCCTTTCTCCTAATGGATCTAAAGTGTCTTACAGTATATAAGAAACAAAGTTAAAAGTTACAACTATTGCAGTATTAAAAAAGCATTAAGCAATAACATATTAAAACCCTGAAATAAGACCAGTATTAAAAACACAAGTAAAACAACAGAATAAAATAATCCCTTTAAAAATCATCTGCCCTCTAATGTCTTGCATCTCCCACAGAACGTAGCCCCTCTCAGCCACTTCCTCTGTCTTCATGGATTCAACAGCAAAGCCAAGATGAAGTCTCCATTCTCTACCTCTAAGCAATTAAAAATAGCCTTAAAGATTTATTGACTAAAGCCTTGAAATGTCTGGCTAGGGGAATTCTTGCAGACTTCTGGGGTCTGTAGTCCTATTATTTCTGTAATTGCAGTAGTATATCTGATGACTGACAACTGTTGCAATGGAATATGAAGTGTACCTGTGTGCTCCTAATTCTCTGCTGGTAGCTCTTGTGAATGATAAATAATTAAAAAGGAATGCAAACAAACTCAGCAAACCAAAATAATAATGAGCTTTTGCTTATGCACTGTCCCTTTGCTCCTACCTTCATCATAGGGGTAATCATATTAGGACAGCTGTGGCTAACTATCATTTCTATTTTGCATAAAAGAGGAAAATGCAGCTTAGAAGTTTCAGAACAGGCAGGATATTAAAATCACTGTTTGAGATTAATTTAATATCCTAGCTTGTTCCAAAAGTGATGATCATAGTTTCCTGAACAATTGAGAACCTACATCAGTTAGAGATTTTATGGTTTGTTTGTTCATTCCAATAAAGGGAGGAGTGGATGGAAGCAGTTAACGCATGGGCAAAAGATCCATTCATATCTTGACTTGTTCAATTGTTTGCTTTGAACCTCATCATTGTATTATTAATTCATCCTTTTGGTTCACATTCCAGGAACAGACTGGAGAAACGTCCTCACAAGAATCTGCAGAAGATGATTAGAAAACCACACCTCGCAATTTCTACCTCATCAGCAGTTGGGTCTTTTGAAGGGAGAAGACACTGCCTTGACCACTTACTTCTGTTGCCGCAATCCTTCTACTTTGGCCTGGAGGGGGGGAGGGAAACCACATAACCTTAAAAAGGACTTATTAATCACCATTGTTGTAATCCCTTCACTGTCCCAGGTTTAGTGAAACTGCTGTAACACAGGGGGACACGGATTAATGATGCAACATTTAATTACTGTTTCTCTTATTTTTCTTTAACCTACTAATAGTTTGTTTGAGCTGCTAAGTAAGGGTGAATGGGTCAGTAAATATCTGAACCAGGTCTTAAGTCATTCATGCACTGCGTATAAATAATAATTTTGTAAAATATTGATTATAATGGGCATTCAAATAGGAAGGCGGTGTTTGACACTAGCCCTTACAACACCTCTGATCACCCACTCCCTCACTTAGTAAACTCCCTGTTTAGAACACCAAAGATAAGGATTAGATACTACTCTTTTTATAGCCTTGTTCTAGATCTATGCTTGATTTTTTTAAATATTTTCTTTCAAAATACATTGAAGGCTGGTTTTTCTTTGTTTAATTCAGCTGATGTATAGGAAACAGAAACCACAAGAAAAAGGTACTTTGCAAAAAAAAAAAGGGAAGTGACAAAGATACATTGTATATTTAGTAATACACATATATCTGCAGAAGTATAACTAAACAGAACTCAACTGGACTCCTCTCTGGGAACACACTCATATCCACTCAGGTAGAATTTGCTTTCTGGAGAGCCTCATATTGCTTAGAAATTACTAAGATGACCCTCTCTCAAGACAGAGATTTAACATCTTAAAATTTCAGTTCTTCTGTGAACTTGGAATAATACTCCAGATCATAATGGCACCAAGGGAAAAGATTCAAATTCTCAGTGAACTTAACCTAGTACTGTCAGTACATTTCATTGTTTCTAGGCAAATGGATCTTTTTTACTTTACTCACATCTCAGTGCAAGAGCCAATACCATGTACCTCAAGTGATCTTGTTATCATGTTTAAGCAATATACATTGACATAGGGTGGTTTGCTGGGCAGCTATATCACAGTCATGTGCCCCCATCTTTTTTCACTCAAAGCAGCACTTTTAGCAACAAATGCAATATTACCCCACTTTTCAATACTACCTCTGATATTTTGACATTAAACTCAACAAGTCATATAAACACTTGCTGCTATGATCATACAATGCAGGAAATTGTTCTTGAAGAGGTAATTATGCATTTCTGCATTTTCCCTTCATTCTATTTTTGTCACCTAGTTGCAGTTAAGGACATAAGATCTTTAATATTTTACAGCGATAACTATGTATTTTTCCTTTTTTTTAAAAAAAGTACTATGCCTTTTCTCTGCTAAATTTCTATGTAATGTACCATTAACTTGAATATATTTTTTTACCGAATTACTCATAAAGTTTGTAGGGATAATTTTCACCAGTGACACTACATGACATAAAAATAACTAACTGCAATGTTTAAATATTACTGTCCAAGTTTGTACCTCAAATTTAAAAAAAAATGGACTAGTTGATTGACAAAGACCTACCTCTAGACTATAAATGGAATGAACTTGTTGTTTCTTTCAGCATTAGTTTTTGAGAAGATTGAAACATTTAGGACTGCAACAACAACAAAATCCCTTATCAGAATATTTTTGTAAAAGAACTTTGTGGGGAATTAACATATATTAATTACTTTCATATTAAAAACAACCCTTCAAAGAAACTTGAATCTTTGTAGGTGGAAAGCAACAAGCTCAGCTCTTTGCATAATGCAATCACAAATATTTTTGTGTGTTTAAAAAAACTAATAGATTGTGTGAGAATACTTGTCAAGTATTTTCATATATTTTTCACAAATGTGATTTTTTTAGTAATATGTGTCAACCAGATTTATTTTAAATGCTTCTTATGTAGAGTTTGTTTAATACTCTATCTACTCCACCCTTCCTTCTCTTTTTCTTTCTCTCTGTCTCACATGCAGACAATATGTGTACTTGTTAACATTGTTTTCCTGTTTGGGCCAGGGGTAGTTTCTCAGGAAAGCTTTTCCTCAGTATGAATTTTAGTACTTAGCCAAATGCAACTAAGGAAAACTACTTACTGGCTGCTTCACAACAGAGAATACTAAGAAACAAGCATCTCCTTGAATAATGAGACTATCATTGTGAATTGCTAAAAAGAAAGTACATCTTAGGCATCCTATTTCACAACAGCTGCTTATGGACTTTAGTTATGTTCATGGAAGCCATTACCAGTAATCCAAAGCAGGGTGCACAGGAGGGTTCTTCTTCGTGGTTTCTGTGAATGTGCACAATTGGGTTGTTCTGCACATTCACAGAGGACCACTAGAAGAACTATGGTTACAGGTAGGTAACCTCTCTTTTCCAGCTCACCCTTCCAGAGGCAGCAGCTTGAATCCCACCCCATCTTCCAAGCAGGATGCAAAGCCTTCCACTTGCAGCATTGTATTAAGCACAAAGCATTATTGTTGAATGAAAATACCTAGCTGACTAATAGGGACACTTGTCAGGACTCTGAACTTCCATATTAACTATGCCGCAGGGTTTGAAGATGCAAATGCCATGCTCCCAAGTTTCAGGTGTGCATGCAAGTTCCATTCCGGAAGGGGTGGTATGTCATTCTCATCATTTTTAGTGAGTGTTATAAATACAATGAGAATTCCTTACTCTGTATGTTGGAATATTCCCTAAGTCATTAGGACACCCTTTCCTGCATGGAACTCCATGTTTATACATTTGTATGCTCTGTTACTGGAGCTGCTGAATCAGTTTAAGAGCTTGAGATGAAACCAATATTGATCCACGTGAGTCAGACATAAAACTCCAAGGACTCGTAACTCTGATCAAATTATAAATCTTGTATTTTCTGTTTATTGTAGAACAATCAAAACACATTACTACCTCTCAGAGTCTTCTATACCTCATTTTTCAGGCTAAAAAGGCTTGTGGCCACTGAAACAGAAAGAACATCATAAAATTTTTTATATATATAGTTTATTTTTGTGGGAGATAAATTTTATAGGACTGTTCTTTGCTGTCACTGTCACTGCTAAATAAGACTGGACATTAACTTTTCTGGCATTTCTGCAAGATAGGTATGCTTGCAGAAGAAAAGTATCAAGATGTATAACTACCATTTACTTCTTCCTATTTTACTTGCCTGCCTCCTAGCTCTTTGCTTTGTTATTCATATAGAGTTGCTGTCTATGATTGTACTTTGAATTGCTTGCTTATTGAACATGTTCCTTTAATGGATTATTCCCGTATGTTCAGCACAATAAACATAATAGCCTCTGTAATCCTAATGTTACTTGATTCCTCGTGTTCTGTCACAGCTCCAAGAAATAAGCAATAAAGTTTGGTCCTAATAGACCAAGTTTGTAAAAAAATGTATACAAGTGTTTTTTCTTCGTGGTCTCTGTGATTCATACATATGTGTCTTCTCCGCACTTTGACAGATGATCTTGGGAACATTCTAGAGCTTTAAATCCCTCCCTTCAGCTATATCCTGGCTCCACCCAACAGTCACTCCTCAGTTCTTTCTGTCATTCACACATCATCTGGGGAACATTCAAAGCTTTATTCACCACAGACTTTTTCCTATTTTATTTTACTTACCTGCTTATCCTCCCTTTGTTTAATTAATTTTTTCCTATTCTTTGCAATCTAAAATAAAATAAAATTAATAACCATTGTCTGTCATTGTTTATGGCTTCTAATGTCTCATTTAAACATTGTATGTCTTGTGGTGGCAAATGTCTGTCTGGACCACTAACAGAGAGACACAAGAAGTGCCTCTAAGCGGGTGAGGTCACGAGACCCAGAATTGTAAAATTAGTCAACATTTTACGAAAGTCACCCTTAAAAACAGATAGTCAAGGCTCAAACTGTTGAAAAAACACAACCTACAAACAGTATTCAGGCCCACCACAAAAACACAACAAATGTTATGGTCAGCAAAGGACAAAAGGGACCCCCTCACCACTGCAGGAGTATACCAGGTACCTTGCAGTTGTGGCCAGGTATATATTGGGACCACAAAACACAGCATTCACACCAGAATCAAAGAACATGAAAGAGACTGCTGACTAAAACCACTGGAAAAATCGGCAGTAGCTGAACATGCCTTGAAACAAGCTGGACATCTACTTCAAAACAGAGAAGTACTGGATCAGCAATCATTATGTTAGACTACGCAGGAAAGCCACTGAAATCCACAAACACCAACACAGCCTCAACAAAAGAGAAGAAAGTCTAAAAATCAACAAAGACTGGCGCTCCCAGCACTGAAAAATACAGCCTGCAAAAGGTCAACAAACTTTACCCAAACACAAGGACCTGTGATCACTGCACACAAAAGACTAGCTAACAACACCCACCAATCACAGTTACAGATCATCTCTCCCCCTTATCACAACAATATACCCATAATAAAAAAACACCCTGATCACCATAATCACCCAATCTCTTTAAAAAAACAAAAAGCTGATCCCACAGCTATAAATACTCAACTATCCCACACACTACACCAGAACACAGAGATATAACTCCTGTCTGCTGAAGATGCTGGCCAAAGACACTGGTGAAACATTAGGAAAAAAACTTGCAGAACATGGTCAAACAGCCTGAAAAACATACAACAACCAATTCTGGCAAAAGCCGCCATCCTTAGCACTAACATAAAAGAGAATAAAGCTATACAAGGGATAGTATTGGGATCTTGCTGGGTTACTGCACTCCCCGCGACCCAGCCATTTCCTTACCAGAGCTGGGGGACTTTGTCTTTGCAGCATTGTTGGAGTCCCCAAGGCTTTTGGTCTTGGGGGACTTCAACATCCACGCGGAGGTGGAGACTTCTGATCCAGCCCTTCAGTTCTTGGAAACCATGGCTTTCCTGAACATGTCCCAACATGGCCCCACACACGTGGGTGGTCATATGCTAGACCTGTTTTTTTTTTCACCAGTTGGAGCGAGCATGGTCTGATGGTGACTAACCTTGTGTCGGTACCATTGTCATGGGCAGATCGCCACCTAATAAAATGTAACCTTGCAATGGCGCTCCCTCCCTGCAGGGAGCAAAGACCTATTCTAATGGTCCACCCTCAAAGGCTACTGGATCCCATAGGATTCCAGGATGCCATGAGAGGGATAGGTGCTCCTGTCGAGGCTCTGGTCGATGGATGGTTTACCGCTGCCACCACGGCTGTAGACACAATAGCTCCTAAACGCCCTCTCCAGTGCAGAGTTCGGCCTGTGTCCTGGTTCAACCAGGACCTGAGAGCGATGAAGCAAACTAGGAGAAGGCTAGAGTGCATGTGGAGAAGAAACCCAACAGTTCAGAATTGAGCAGCTGTCAGGGTCGTGACTAACCTTTACCTTGCTGACCGGATAAGCGAAGTTTCCAATCAGCAGGCGGAGCTTTTCCGCATAGTCTGCGACTTATCCAGAATTGGTCTAGGTGATGGGCCTCCCCCTAGTATCTCACCAGACCAATTTGCAGCATTTTAAAAATCTAAAGTGGAGGCCACCCACCAGGAACTTTCTCCTTTTTTCGACACAGTGAGTCGAGCAGAGACGTCCAGTGCTCCGCCTTGCCCGGTGACAATTGATTGTTTTCAGCCGGTGACACCAGAAATTATGGACAAGGCACTTGATTGCTATTGGGCCACCACCTCATCCCTTGACCCTTGCCCGGCCTGGCTAATCAAAGCAGCCAGGCCTATAACAACAGAATGGGCAAAGGCAATAATTAATGGATCATTCCTTGAGGGCAGGGTTCCCCTTGCCCTCAAGGAGACACTCATTAGGCCCATAAGAAAGAAACTAAATTTGGCGGCAGACGATATTGGCAATTACAGGCCCGTCGCCAATGTTTCTTTCATTAGCAAAGTGGTGGAGAGGGTGATGGCCAACCAGCTTCAGGTGCACTTGGATGAAACAAATGCCCTAGATCCATTTCAGTCGGGATTCAGGCTGTGCCATGGTACAGAAATGGCATTGGTCGCCCTTTATGATGACCTCTTGAGGGAGGCCAAAAAGGGAAAAACATCCCTATTGGTCCTCCTCGATATCAGCCACCTTTGATACCATCAACCATGGTATCCTCCTGAGGAGGCTCTCCGAGTTGGGGAATTGGTGGCCTGGCATTTGCTTGGCTCCAATCCTTCTTGGTGGACCATACTCAGAGAGTAGAGCTTCGGGAGAGGGTCTTGGCCCCCTGGAGCCTCAATTGTGGGATCCTGCAGGGCTTGATAATCTCCCCAATGCTGTTTAATATCTATATGAGGCTGCTGGGAGGGGTCATCGGGGTTGTGGGATATCGTGATATCAGTATGCTTATGACACACAGCTCTACATTTCCTTTACACCAACTACAGTGGAGGCTGTTCTGTCCCTTCAGCGCTGCTTGGAGACTGTTCTGCAGTGGATGCAGAAAATTGGGCTGAGGCTGAACCTGGACAAGAAGGAAGTACTGAGGATGGGTGGCCCCTCCATTAGCGGTTTGGAAAACTCCCTCTCATGGAGGGGGTGACTCTCACAGCGAAGAGTGAGGTTTGTTGCTTGGGGATCCATCTGGACCCGGCGCTCACCATGGAAACCCAGGTAGCATCAGTGGTCCAATCCGCCTATTTCCACCTTTGGCGGATTGCCCAGCTGCGTCCCCATCTTGATGTTGGGGTGCTCACCATTTTAGTGCATGCACTTGAAATCTCGAGGATAGACCACTGTAATGCGCTCTATGTGGGGCTACCTTTGAGACTGATGCAGAAGCTTCAAATGGTGCAGAATGCGGCGGCCAGACTTCTTAGTGGGGGGAGAAAACACCATCCTATCTCTCCCACTCTGGCCGCATTGCATAGGCTGCCAGTGTACTTCCGCGTTGATTGCAAAGTTTTAATGATCATATACAAAGCCCTAAACGGTTTAGGACCTTGCTATCTGACGGAACACCATCTCCCACCAAAATCTACCCATATCACTCAATCTAGTCAAGAGGTGCAACTGAGGAGCCTAACACCAAGAGAGGACTGGAAGGAAAAAACAAGAAACCGGTCACTCCTCAGTTATGGAATAATCTACCTTCAGAGATCTGTATGGCCACTTCACTGGGTATTTTTAAAAGCCTGCCATCATTTTATTTGGCATAAAATGCAACTTCTCATACAAAGTTTGCTAGGAGATAAATATAAACTAACTGCGGCATTCCAACAAGAGGCTCTCATGCTCACCAACCAACAATTCCACCCTGCAAGACACGTGGACTGTGCTTCAAAGAAAATGTTTCCAGCTGTTGTGCTATGCAGGTATGCCTGGTTGAGATCTTCAGGCCTACTAGATGAATCCAGGAGCGGTACTGAGAAGGAATGTTGGTACTGAACTATTATCATTTTCTCCACTTTGTTGGGTTTTTGAATTGGGGTGTTCCCTTTTAGCCTAATAGCATCTGGAGTTTTTATCAAGTGCATTGCCCCTGTTGCAGCATATTTTAGAATAAGAGAAATAAACATTTGCCCTTATATAGATGACTGCTTAATTGTAGCAAACTTTAAGGAAAAACTGCAAAACAATGTTCACATCACTTTATAACTGCTGACAGATCTCGGACTGAAAATACATTTTAAAAAGTAAAACTTACAACGTACAAAGACAATTCAACACATAGGTGCCATTCTATACTCAAACAAAGGAAGATCTTATTTTCCTCAAGAGAGTGTGAACAAAATAATTTCTCTTCAAAATTGCAACTGAACAGGACACTCAGCAAAAATATTGTTGGACTTCATGGCATCTCCTATTGCATTGGTAGCACATGCAAGGCACAAAATGCTCTCTCTATAATTGTGTTTCCTAGTCCTTTGCAACAGTGTGAATGACGATGCACAAAAAAAGCTTTGAGTGAACGAATTGGCACTTCAACTGAGATGGTGGCATGCCCTTCAAGTCTCCAAAACCATTGCTAGCAGCCCAGTTTAACAGACTGGGGAATCTCACTGCCAAGGAAAGCAGATAAATGCAGTTTGGTCTTCTCAAGAGGAAATGGCATATAAATCAACTTGCAGAAATGTTAGCAGTCATCAAAGCTTTAAGAGCTTTTGAACCCATTGTGGTGGGAAAAGTGGTACAGATCATAAGAGACAAAGCCACCACAACGTATTGCATAAATAAACAGGGAGAAACCCATTCTGTGGCTCTTTGACTACTAACCGTCTACCTATGGAAATGATGTATTGAGAGACACATAAAATCTTATTTCAATACATATTTTTGGTAAGGACAAGCACATTGCAGATGCTTTAAGCAGAAATCAGATTTGGAGTCACGGATGGGAGCTGATGGACAAAGTCTACAGACTCAT